AAGAATCTAACAGTTATAAACACATTCAGTTACTTTAATAGATTGAACATCTAGCTCTTTTTTCTCAATTATTACAGGTCAGATCTCTTACATTGGATGTTAAAGTGTGGGAACCTTCTGTGATAAGTTTATTTCAGTCTCTAGGGAATACTTTTGCCAACTCAGTCTGGGAGGAATTATTGCAATCGAGAAGTGCCTTTCAGGTTGATCTTGTCCCTCCAGGGTAAAGAATCCCCATTACTTTATCTATGCATTGAATTGATTATATTTACTATTACTATCATTTGACCAAGCATTGCTGATATTCTCTTCTGTTAATTGTAAAGCTTAAGCAAGTCCGATAAACCACTGATGTTCTTCATCACCAAACCTTGTCAATCTGATTCTCTATCTGTGAAGGAAAAGTTCATCCATGCAAAGGTATGGCTATACCTGCTTGTACACTTTCAGCTATTTCTAACAGAGTGAGATGTTCTTTTAGTTTGTTTTTTTTTTTTTAATAACTGAATGGATGAGTTTTAGTGAAAATGAGGAAGGAGGGGGGCAGTTGTAGGTTTTGTTGATATTGGGTTAGTTTAAAGTACTGTTGTCACAAAACAGGTCCAGATGAGAGTTTAGACTGAGGAAGCTGAAGAAGAAAAGAGTGTAGGATTCACACTTAGAATTCCTCAGGATTCACACTTATAATCATTCATTTGTATTCACCAAAAAGCTTAAGCTGTTGGGATAATTGGTTCATGACAAAACCTAATACTTCCTTTTTCGATTGCTTCCCCTCATTTTCAATTTTTTCTCAAAGCTATGGTATTTGCTACAGAATATGGCTTCTCTCTGCCATAGTATTTTCCAATACATCATGTGTCTTGTTCTGTTGCTGTTGATGGTATGTATGGAAGTCTACTTGGAGAATGTCCGTCGAAGTTGATATTTTCATTAGGCATGAGTGAGTACTGGTGTAGGTATACCACTTATCAGAATGATTGCATTTTATGATATTATTATGTGAATTGATCTATTCATCAGTTGATTGATATTTTGAAGAAAAATATATGACTGATTATTTATGTTTCTTGTTAGAGGACTAGTTTGAGTGAGTACCCTGTATTTGACTTGAGTCTTTGCGTAACAATTATTGTTGCAGCATCACTTATTTATTTGCATTCTGGTCTGTATGCTCGAACACCTGGGGATGTATTCACTATGTTAACTATACTTCTGTATTTACTTTTTAAAACTGTTGAGCCTTTTAATCTACCTTCTAATTGCTGTAACTCAGTCTCCATGAACCTTTTTTTTTTCATGGCAGTATGCAGAGAAGCTTTTTGTTCGCAAGCCGAAAGACAGTCAATACCGTCTCTTGGTGGCACAGCAGATCTGGGAGGCTGTTCGTGCTAATGACAAAAAAGCTGTATACCGCTACATTGTTAATTCTGACGTAGACGTTAATGTTGTTTATGAGCAAATGTGCAGCAGCTCCTTAACCCTTGCCAAAGTAATGTTATTACAAGAGCAGACAAGCCATGATCAAAGCTCTACTTTAGCAGGGAACACATTGGACTGGTCCTCGAGTAAAGAAGGTCAGGTCATGGACAATCTAGATGGGTCCACCCTACTTCACCTGGCTTCTGAAACTGCAGATATTGGCATGGTGGAGCTCCTCCTACAGTATGGTGCAAATGTCAATGCAACTGATTTGAGAGGCCAAACACCACTACACCGCTGTATTCTCAAAGGCAGATCTACATTTGCGAGATTATTGCTTTCAAGGTAAGGCTGATGTAACTCTGTTTATATGATGGCTTATTCTGGTTCCTTAAACAATTTATCTGGTTAGCTTCAATTGTATGATGTCATTTATGTGATCATTCCAGGTATTAATGGGCTATTTGCTGATTCATTTATTCTTTGACTTGTGTACTTTGTGTTCATGGTTCATGGTTCATTGAATACTGCTGAAATCTTTTAAAATGCAGGGGAGCGGATCCTCGAGCTGTGGATGATCAGGGAAGAACCCCTATTGAGCTTGCTGCTGAGTCAAATGCTGAAGACAGAGGAGTCCATGCTCCACTGACTGATTCTAATGGATGACAATGATAGGCAAAATCTCTGGATCTCCAAGTATATTACATATATAAGAAATGAAAGATTGGATTATGTAAATTTGTATTTCATAAATTGAAAAGCTGGTTTTTTTGGAAGTAAATGCCACTAGTGTGAAGGATCAAGGGAGAGTGGTAGGTTGAAATGCCTGCCCCTTAGTCATCTTGTGCAAAATAGTGCTAAGATTTGTAATGTAAAATGGCCACATTGGTCTAAGTTAAGAGTTATGCTGTACTGGTGGCGCCCAGCCAGCACTTTGTAATATGATGTTTGTGTATTTTTGTTTACTTCTTTTGAGGTGAAGCTGCGATGAATTAGGCTAGGGATTTATGTTGTATGTTGTGTACATTGGTTTATTTTTGTGAAGGTGTTGTGGCTGTTATTCACTTTTCTGTATTTTGGGATTAGTTGGTGGGACATGTGCTGAGGATATGACATGTCCCAGTTCTCAAATGTTCATATTTTTATGTTGATAAAAGAAAAAAGTATTTTCAAAAGCAAAAGGGTAAACAAAATTACCCTCCACTCCCAAGAAAATGGAAAATAGAATTTTTGAAATCGTAATAGAGTTCCAATCTTGAAAAGACAGAGTGGGGCATCATGTTCAAGGAAGGCACAAGAATTTCTTGGTCAATTGAATCAAAGTGTAAAGCATAGCAGTCCATTTCACCCTTCAATTTGCAATTGTAATTGGAGAATCGGGTAGAAATGTACATAGATTTTTTGTATCCAAATGGTAAAGGACCACCATTACTACACAAATAAAGCAATTTTGACAAGAAAAGCAAAGCCAATTATGTAATTAGCGAGTATAGCACGTAAAGTCAGGATATTTTTAAAGCTTAATGGGAATTTTCACTGCTTCACATAAGCATTTTAATTTTATAATGATAAAAGAAACCGTAAGGCTTAATCTATTGGGTTATAGTGGACAACGCTCACCTTGATTTAACCCAATCTATCAACTAAAACTCAGCATTTGTCACGGGCTACCGCAACATAATTATTGGTATTAGTGACAGAGTAACAACTAACATCACCTGAAGAGGGCCCTCTTCAATTGGGTTATGACATGTGATGAGACCACAACAAAGAGTAAAGATACATTTTAATCGTTCAAATATACAAGTGATATTAACTTTTTAATAACAAAAAATTAATGTTAACTTGACTCACTAGCATCGATTGAACATTTAGATATTATTGGGATGCATGCATAAAACGTAGTCTGGGACTGGTGTAGAATACTCTCAGGGAAAATGACTCCATGGTTTGGCGTGTTTTATAAGGTAGACATTTTGGTACGCAAGTTTGATTAACTATTAATTAAACTTATTTAAACAGTCAGTGGTCATTTTCTCATAATTTTATTCTCTCGCATGGACCCGTTTTTAAAAGAATAAGTTTATGACTAATGGGTCAAAGCATACAATACCTTGGCTATATAGTTGACTATCAATAAGATAGCACTGGCCGATGAAGAAAAATAAGACACCACTGGCCAATGAGCGACTGTGATATTCATGTGAAAGTGATAGTTGTACCTAGTATGTGAAAATTTTAATGTAAGGGCCTATTTGTTTGAGTAAAAATTTTAATTATTCACTTTCTAATAAAAAATTCATTCTAATAAAAATATATAATTTAGATTAGTTTATGCACGTTATACTTAATGGCTCAAAATAAAATTATCAAAATTAATTTTACCTAACTTTAAACTAAATAAACACTACATTACTTATTTATTTTTGGTCAAAGATAACTGAATTAAAGTCTCAAGGCGATAGACTAATGACACATCAAACTACGGAGAGAAACCATCTCCAACAGAACAATTTTATAATACTTCAACAAATAAATATTACAAACATAATATACTTGTTTAAAACACATAAATAAGATATCAAACAAGAAAATTAAGCAAACAAAACCTATTTTCTACCTAAAGCTAACTTTCGCTTTGAAAAAACAAGCGATTAGCTACAAAATTTCATCTTTTTCTGTATTTTTTTTATTATATCTTCACTCAATTGATTTTACTGGCAAAGCAAACTTATTTTAAATATGAAAAGTGAGAAATGTTAAAAAAAACACACACTAGGGGTAGTTCGGCACAGGAGCATAACGAGGTCTACCAACAAGACTTCAAGAGAAAGTTAAATAGAATGTTCACTAACAACAGAGGTAGATAGATGAAGAAAGGAAGGAGATAGACCGACCCTATGGGCTACATACTTGTGATTATCTGTAAATACTTGACGTAAATTCCAATTAAAAATCTAGCTACTTATCATTACTCATTTCAAAATGCCTTGGAACTTAATAATTGAATTCGCTTTTAATCAATACAACACTAATTCAACTACACTACCCTATTCTATATCACATTAATATAATAATCTAAAAATATACATAGAATTATTCCACGAGAAAACTCGGAAGTAAAAATCTGATAAGGTCATTCCTAATCCTAGCAACTTCCACCTATCACTTTGAAAAAAAAAGAAAGAAACAAAGAAAAGATAAGATAGAAAGAGGGAAAAGGAAAAGCATGCAATATATATATATATATATATATATAATTGTATATAATGTAGTAATGTAAAAGCAATTATTCGATATAAAAGAAAGGACGTATACTAATACAAGAAGTAACTTTACTAATCACACGCCAAACATAATAACACAAAACTAGAGTTGTTAATCACTCACTTAAGCACATCACAAATTCCCATGCACCTTAATTTAACGGCTAAGATGAAGCTTGAGGGATCAGACGGTTGATATGCAATTTACATTCCCCCTTCTCACGGATTTCGATGTTTCGCTTTCGGACCAAATGTGGACCCCACATCGTACTGTGTCCTCAGTGCTGCCTACTCACAAAGGCGGGAACCAGTTTTTGTCGCAGAGGTATGGCCCTTTGTTGTCATGAGATGAGAGAGAGAGAGAGTTTAGAGCGAGAAACAAGAGACAATCACTGAATCACTCTCTCGCTATACATGCTGTGTGTGACTCTGCCACTGTGTGTGTAAGCACCCAAATCCAATGACATTGCAGTTTCTGAGGAGAGTTTTGTGTTTGTTGTAGTTGCAGGTGGTGGTGTTGGTTATGGTTTCTTCACCATATGCTAATGCTCCCTTCAATTTATGTCCAACTTTTTGACTTTCTGTTTGGTTTTCGAGGAAAAAGAAAGGAATTTGTTAATGGGTCTCGTTGCTTTTGTTAGTCCCTGCTGGCACCTGGGAATAGTGGGGTTTTTTTATTGGTTTTTCTTTTGAAAGTTCAAATTCTTGTTCTGATTCGTGTAAAGGTGGAAAATTTATGGGTGGTGATAAGAGGGAAAAGATGGGATTCTGTAGAAAATGATAACGGTTACAACATATGTTATTGCTTTTTTATGATGGCTTTCTTGTGAAGATTTTGGGTTTGAATAGGTTGGGGAACATGCTTATGCTTATGCTTATGCTTATGCTTGCACTCTTTTTAAGCCATTTCAGAATCAAGTATAAAAGCTTCTTGGTCTTGGGGATTGCTTTGTTTCCAAGTGTTGTGCTGAGGGGATTTTGAGCATCTGAGTGAGTAATTCATGCCTCATTCTGGAGCTTCTGATATTGATTTCTGGTTGTGGCTTTGTTTGTTGTGTTTTAATGTTTCGGAAAAGGCACACTTCTTCTCTTGCAAAGGAATTGTTGGCATTCCAGCCACTTTTTCTTCTGTTCTTGTTCAGCTTGCACCATAACACTGTGCAATGTCAAGGAAGGTTGAGTAAACATGTATCTTCAGAGCCTCCCTCACCACCTCGGCCATCACCGCCATCATCAGGATCCAAAGATGACCCTACAAAGATCATTGTGAGCGTGGTTTTAGGAGCAGTCACTGGACTAGTGTGTTCTGTTCTCTTTGCACTTGTGGTTCGTTGTGTTGTTCAGTATCTGAACCGCACACCAATCCTCAAGGGTCCTGTCATATTCTCCCCCAAAATTGCCCCCAAGACACTCCAATCGGCTTTGGCAAAAGAAAACCATTTGCTTGGTTCGAGTTCTAATGGAAAATACTACAAAACTGTTCTTGACAATGGACTCACAATTGCAGTCAAAAGGCTAACACCCTTTGAGAGCAATTCCCCAGAGGCTAAGAGAAAATCAGTGAAGAGGCAGATACAGACAGAGTTAGAGCTTCTTGCTAGCCTTAGACATAGGAACTTGATGAGTTTGAGGGCATATGTTCGTGAACCTGATGGGTTCTCATTGGTTTATGATTATGTGTCCACTGGGAGTCTAGCAGATGTGATGAATAGAGTTAGGGAGAATGAGTTGCCTTTTGGTTGGGAAGTTAGGCTAAGGATTGCTGTTGGTGTGGTGAAGGGTCTTCAGTATCTTCATTTCACTTGTGTGCCTCAGATTTTGCACTACAACTTGAAGCCCACAAATGTGATGTTGGATGCTGAGTTTGAACCAAGATTGGCAGATTTTGGATTGGCTAAACTCCTTCCCAACTTGAATAGAGGAACATCTGTCAACACCCCTCCTGAATGTTTCCATAGTTGCAGGTAAGACAAATCAACGGATTTGCATCATACTCATTCACTGGTATTTTTTTCTTTTTTTACACCTAAAGGTAAACCTTTTTCAAGTCTCCATGTCTCGTTGGGGGCTTTTTTCTTTTGGATCACCCTAATCAAATATTCTTCCTGTGAAACGTAATCATTATTCTGTATTTTCATGTTGTCACTTGCAAATTGAAATTAGTATTATATAATGCAAACTTTGCATAACCGATATTTATTTTCTTAACTACCTATTACTTCCTGGTTTCGTCCAAATGAATATTACTTCCCAATTTAACTTGCATTTCTGTTTTGTTTTTCATTGTTGTATGGCCCTGGATGCATCAATATCAATAGTAACGACAACAAAAAGATTGCTTGATGCATTGCATACATGGTTAGGATGTTTGTTGATTCCATTCCTGTCTTGTATGTGAAATTTGATGGTATTCTGATTCAATGGTGTGTTTTGCAATTTCAGCAGGTACACTGACAAAAGTGACATCTTCAGTTTTGGCATGATACTAGGTATTTTGCTAACGGGTAAGGACCCTACAGATCCATTTTTTGGAGAAGCAGCCAGTGGAGGAAGCTTGGGATGTTGGCTGAGGCATTTGCAGCAAGCTGGTGAGGCACGCGAAGCTCTAGATAAGAGCATGTTAGGGGGAGAATTGGAGGAAGATGAGATGCTAATGGCTGTTAGGATTGCTGCTGCATGCCTATCTGATATGCCTGCAGATAGGCCTTCCAGTGATGAACTTGTTCACATGCTAACGCAACTGCACAGTTTTTGAACCAAACCTTGATGATTTTTCGGTTTCTAGAGATTTTTTTTTTCATTTTCCCTTTTCTGTAATAAGATGATAGGGGTATTTGGTTGGCCATGATTCTGGTGTAATTGATTGTTTTGCATGATCTTAGTTTTCATGGTGTGGTTTCTATTTTCTCTATTCTATTTCCTTTTCTTTTGGCTGATTTTGCAGATTCTGTGATTGTTTTTTAGGTCACACTAATATATTATGTTTGTAAATGACTAGTGATGTTAACAAGTATTTTCATGCCCTGTACTGTTGCTGTTGTATCCTAGAGGAACATGCCATTAACGTTGTTGACAAACAGCGTGAAAATTTCTTTCAACTTGTAATGTTGAACTAAAAATATTTTTTTAACCACAAGATTTGAATGCATAAACTGAAGGGCATTTTATGCCAACTAAGAAGCATTTACCAAAGGGACATGAAATGAAATATAACTTTATACGAGCAAAATGAAAGTACAATGCCAAGTGTTTCATACTGGACTGCAAAGCTATATTGACATATGAATAAGCTGTGTGAGGAAAGTTCTAATGTTATGTCTTCTTTTTCATTTTCTACCTTACTATATTTTTAAGACCATTCATCGTTGGACCTAGTTTAATGTTTCTAGAAGAAATAAAGGAAGGAAGCATAGGAAGTAAAAAAGGAATAGAGTTTTGAACTGTTAGAATATTAAGAAGTTTATTGATAGGATTTAGATAACGGCAAGGACATGAAATGTCCATAAAATGGTGGGATCCAATCAAAGGGAAAAGGGGAAGTCAGCATATGCGAGCCATAGCTTTTCATGGTTCCTTATTTTCGTTGTTTCCCATGAATCATGACATTTGGCACAACTCAAACATTTATATATTTATATTCAGTACTTGATCCAACAAAAAAAAAAAAGAGAGACAACAGATAAGAACTGAAAATAGTTAGCTTAATCATGCAAAAAATATGAATGGTAATTGGCAAAGGGGGATTGGATCAACCATGTATTACACAAGCTGCCACCTTAACCTAAACATAATTCCACAATTCATACAAATTAGAGCGCCTGAGTGGATTCACACAGTGCAACAAGTGGTGTAAGTAGATTGAATTTAAATATTTATGTAAAAGAGAAGCTCTTAAAAACTGAAATTGACTTGAATTCAAACAAAAGCCGACACCATATGAGAAATATTGAAAAGAGAAACTAAGTAGATGTGTGAAAAGCCTATGTCTCAAGGTTTTAATATTCCTATATCTAAAGTTTATAGCTCAAGTTATAACAATAACTACCGACTTGAGGGGCAGTGACAAACTGGACTTCAGCTTAATTTGTCTGACAAGAAATGATTAATCAATCTGCCCATCTATTTTTTAGTATTTCTTTCTTTAAAAATTTATAAAATTTTAATTAGATTTTATAAAATATTTATCTTTTGAGTTTTTCTGCATTAAAAAAGTTATATTTATTTCAAAAAGTATTTTGGAAAAAAAATAGTACTGAATTCAGCTTCTCCTTAAAAAAACAGAAAAAACAAACAGAGAAAAGAAAAACAATAACTAATGACAGCCCAAAAGGACCAGGTAAACGCTCCACTTACCTAGTCATGCAAGTAGCTATGATCTATGATGAAGAAGTGCAACAGTGTGAATACTTCTAAACAGAACCCGGGTCGTACCGTATCTTAATCGTGTGGAATACATATCTTTGTTAGAATATTGTATGGTGCTCCAAATACTTTGTATTTTTATAATTTTTTGTTTTAAGTTTCTTAAGTTTTATACAATACTTGTTGAAACACCACAACAAATAGCAACTAAAAATGCAGAGACAAACGAATGCTATAACACCGAACTTCAGCTCACCCGTGCCATTCCTAATTATGTCAAAAATAGTGTCTTAAAAGTGCATCTGGTGATTTGTATCCACTGGCATCCTCCACTTATTTGAAAGATACATTTTGAATTATGGTTAGGCAATAGCTTTACTTATTAGTTTGCATAACTATCAATCGGTATCTCATTGGTGTAAGTTGTCAGATATATACACAGAATCATTTCATCCATTTTGCTTCTTTTGACAAATAGTTTGAAGTTTAGTGAATTGAAAGATACATTTTGAATTATGATTATTATTAGCCAATAGTTTGTATTTTAATTTTTAAAAATAAATAATCACTAAAAATATATTGAACATATTTAAAACGTGTTACTAATAGTTTTCTTAAAATAAAATAAAATATGGTAATAACATTTAAAATTTTCACTTCTAATGTACGTATCACCGATTAACATAATCAAGGAGCACAGTTACTGCATAATTACATAATGCGGCTTTAAACATAATTAACGTAAACAAAAAGATACTGTGAAAAAGAAAGAAATAACACATTTCCTCACTTCTTACTTGAGCCCTTTACAAAATTTTCTACACACGAAATGGACACCTTTGATTAACAATGAAACGAATTAAAACTAGAATACAAACAATCACATTTTACCTAAGACCCCAACATATATAGTATATATCAAAATGCTAGTGGTAGAGGTTGGGCTTCTAAGAAGGACTTGAACAGCACAAGTGATCTTTGAGGCTGTGAAAAAGGGGCTTCATGTGATGCTCCCCTAATGGTAGCAAATGAAAGGATGTTACCATATACTTGAGTCCACCCACCCACCTGAAACAAGCATGCAATATTTTCTTAAGCACAATAGAAATTCAATAGGGTATGTGTGATCTCATCAAAACTCAACAAGTCTCACCTGCTGCCCCTCAAACCAAACCCTGTAAGGAACAGTGGTATTCAATCTTAGTTCTTTTGCCAATTTACGTACTAATGTTCTGCTTCCAGTTAGTGGAATAACTGAATCTTGATCACCACTGCAAAACAAGAAAGGCTAATTATGCATATTCATGCCAAAAACTTTCATTTGGTCTAGAATAGAATTTTCAATTTCATAAGGACGCAAGCATGAACCTGTAGACCAAAACTGGTATTCCTGCCTTGACTAGCTTCCCCACAACCGTGATTGTTGGTATCTCCAAGTCACGCAGCTCATAATCCAGGACACTAATGGACGCATAACATTGATATTAACAAAAGTGACTAAGCTTAAGTTGTTGGAGAATGCAATGTATTAGATGAAGATTTAATTGAAGATGTTTCTTCCCATGACTATTAAAAAAACACTAAAAAGAGTTATACAAAGAGAAACACAACATAAGGTTTAATTTCAGTGTGTGTTTGGAAACAAGTCAGAAAAACATGTAAATATATATTCAACACAAAAGTTACTACTAGTAGTATTGAAGTAAATGTGAATTCATGATCATTCTAATGTGAATCCAAACACACTATTTCTCATGAACACAAACATAAAAAAAGAGAATTACTTGCTGCAAGCAGACCATCTTTGCACCCCAATCAGACGTGCATGCAAAGCTGACTGCACATCTTTTCTGTTAAGATAATTAACTGTTTCATCTTCCACACATACATCTATCGTTTCAGTAACTTGCTGCTTTGATAAATAAGACCAGCATTTCAAGCTCTCAGAATTTAGATTCAAGTTAGATAGAAATTCAAGCCAAGGCAAGTGTTGGTGAAATTTGAAAGTGAAAACATGCGACAAGATAAACTCACCTGGGGGTTGAGGACTTTGGTTTGTGAAAACACAGAAGATATACAAACATCAAGGGTAACATCATACTTGTCAACAAATCTACTGGTTTCCGTACTAACTTGGCTCATTACACTTGAACAGATAGGAGAAACAGCACCATTATAGTATTCCCTCACATATCTTGAATAGTTGCAAACAGAAGTGAACATTTTGTATGTTAGATCTGAAATTAATCCATGAGACCAGAAGAACTCAGCTCTCGAATTGAAATCTGTTGCAAATTCTAGAACTGGATTACCAAGCTGCATCAAAAGAAACAAGTTTTAGATGCCAAAATTCCTTAGTCAAATTGCAAATTAGAGAAATTTTAAGCTGAATTTTTTTTTCAAATTTTTCTCCAAAATCTTTCCAGACAGAGAAATAAAAGCTGGTATCAAGATACAGAGAAGAATGAGGTCTGTATGAATAAGAAAAGAAGAATAATTGGAAGTTTGTGCGGTAACTCACAGCAATGCCTTTTAAATTGAACAACATTTCCTTTTTGTTGAATTGGAGCATAAGCTCAGCCAGTTGAGGAACATAATGACCTAATAAAAAATACTAAACATATAAATGGCTGCATAGCTTTCATGAAGAGATATACAGCTAATAAATAAATAGAAGAGTTACCAGCATAGCTTTCTCCGACAATGAACAAACTTCTGTTTCTATATTCTGGGAACTTTATAAACCAGTTTTGCAAGAAAACCAGATTATCCCTGGCTATAAAGAGAAAGACAAACAGTTATCAGTAACAAACCAACACTATGTAAAGAAAAACAACACTATTATCCAGTGGACAAGCATAACTGTAAAGTAAAACAGCAGGTGGCGAAATAACAATTGTTAATAAGGATTTTAGCAAAAGGGACAGAACAGAACTTTGCAAAAGGTAAAGATAACAAGAAAAGCAAAAGGGAGAAGTGAGAATAAACAAGAGGAAATTGAAAAAGAAGAAAAAAAAATATTTGACTGAGATCTCCCTGTCAGTAAATTATTTCTTTAGTGATTTCAAAATGCTTGCATTGAATGGAGCTTTTCCATTCTAATTAATAACATTGAGAATTATTTAAAACCAAATGTTGAAATTAAAAAAAAATTTAGAGAAATACATTATAAAGACTTGCCTGTAATCTTGTCATTCACACCTTCATAAAAGGAAGTGTCAGTTGAGTAAGAGAAGCCAACTCCAACTGGCGTTTCCAAATACAGCATATTAGCTTCTGCAATTAATGTGTATCACAATGCTGATGAGTATGTCATAGTAATGCCAAAAGTGAAACCACCCCATTAATGGAAAATAAATACACATGATATGTGTAGACAAAGGTTGGTTGAGGAAGGTAGCTAGGTACCTCGATTCCAGCTGAATTGGTTCCTAATCAAGGCCTCTCCTTTGGGCCTAAATGGTCCATTCTCGGAAAATGCACCAACTCCCAGAGAAGAACAACCAGGCCCTTCAAAAGAAAATGACAAAACACAAAGTTCTCAATATCTGATGTTTCAAAGAAACTAAACAAAGTGTTAGAGACTAAGGAGCACCTCCATTGAGCCAAAGAACAAGGGGTTTGGAAAGTGCATCTTTTTCAGCTTCAGCGAAGTAAAAAAACAGTGCTTTCTGGTTTTTGTGATCAACAGTCACATAGCCTGAAAACTGATGAAACTCAACATGGGGTTGACCTGGTAAGCGAGTGATACTATTCCTATGAAGGTGAGAGAGTGAAGGGTGTGCAATGCCAAGATGAAGGAGTAGAAATAGCACTGCCACACACGTTGCAATGGAACTCCAAAGTAGAGAAGACATAGTTTCACTTTGAGAACCCAAAAAGCTTAGCAGCTATTTCTTGTTGTGTGTGATGTGAGTAAGTGACTGCCTTGTGTTGTATGTATATAAAAGTGAGAAAGGTTTTTGCTTTTTATAATGTTATTATTTGGTGTTTTGTCTCTTTCGAAACTTATGGTTGGAAATAGGAGAGGGAGTGCCAAGGACAGTGAACTGTGAAGTGATGCGAATTTTGAAGACTGTAGAATTGAATATGGTGATTTGGTTCATTTGAGACTCTCTGAATGCACGTGCCTCACAATCTGAGTTGTATTTTCAGACACCTTTCCTTCCTCAAACATTTATTTTAGTTTTAATTCTAATTTTTTCACTAAATTTAGTTTAGATTTTGGTTTAAACTTTAATTTAAATAAAAAAAATTCCATGATCCCGAATCAGTATGATCCCGATCAATAGGACCACTCAAAAATTTCTCCATCTTTTGTTCGTTTTATTGAATCTCACAATAAGTAAATGTAATATTTGAAATAAGAGACTTTTCCAATGTAATTGTGTTAAAGCTCACATTTTAAATTAGATTCAATAAGTAAACCGTTAAATTAGATCCAACTCAAGATAAAACTAAAAGTTGGCTTGAATTTTCAAATAAAATAACTTTGTTATATGTATATATTAATAGTATTTAATATTTTTATTATAAATGATAAATTTTATTTGTAGTGATATTTTTTAAATGTCCTGGTTGATTTGAATTTACAAAAATGTTAAAAAAAATATTAACAAATTTTAAAAATAATAAAAAATTTAAAGCATAAAAAATTGTCAATAGTAGTTTTTTCAGCTCATGGCAATTTTTGAAAATTTTTCATATTATTGTAATTTTATCCAAAAATTCATATTTTAGTAATTTTTTATTTTTTAAGTCAAAAATTGTAAGTAACAATTTTTATTACTTTATATTTTTTCAATTTAACATTTAAATTTTTTAAATATTTTTTAATGGTAATTTTTGAGATTTTAAATTTTTTAACACCTAACTCAAAAAACTACCAACAGTAATTTTTGAATTCTTGTATTTACGTACTTTTTTTTTTTTTCCAAAATCCCATATCTCAGTGTGTATTATTTTTAAAAACTATATATAAAAAAGAAAAAAAAAACCTCAATTGAGGGTACCAAAATAAATGAAATAGAATAAGGTAGAAACACTTTGTTGTGAGGTTAAAATATGCATGCAGCAGAGGAAGATTGAAATGAAATGAAAGTAAAGTTAGGTGATCGCACATTGCGTGATGTTTGCTTTTGTTTGACCTGTCTGTCAAATAAACAGAACTACCAACAAAGGGTGAAGAGTGAAGAAGCATGTTAACGTGTTTCATCCTTTGCATTTGAATTATGCATTCATGTTCATGCATGGGACCTCCCTACCACCACCATTAAAGGTAAAGCCAATCTTTGCTTTGCGTCCCCACATTTCTCCTTCCTTCCTGTACTACTAATTAGTTTGCATCACACCACTGTTATTACATTATATTTCTCTTAATAAGGGAAGACAAATATATCTTTATATACATTTTTTACAAAAGTGTATATGTAGAAATAATGTGCAATAAAATATCACTGCCCATCTTTGCTGTCGGCCTATAAACACCACAAGTCATACAAATAACCCAATAAGAGATTATAGTTATTAAAAATTGCTAAACTTGATATAAATTTGTGTTAAAAGAATTGTCAGGCATCATATTTTTTGTACGTTTTTGGTTGAGAAATTGTTTTTGTACGTAAATAGTCATGACCGAAGATTCTCTGTGGAATCCTTCAAGGTAAAATCTAAATGATTACATGTAGTAAACTGAATATAGACAAGGCAAGGATAAATCTCTTACAACTCTTTTTATAGACGGACTTTTTAAGAAGGAAGCAGTAAGAACAATTTAGAAATGGGTGTTTTATAGTTGGGAAATGTGACAGGAATGTGAAGCCAAGAATAAAGCTCCTTTAGTATTGAAGTTGCAGCAAGTCACAACTTAGAATCTTCGATGTTCTCACCCGCGTCCCATATATTTATTTATTTTATTTTATGTACTTTTAAGACTAAGGTTGTAATTATAGATTTTTAATTCCCGAGTCTCGTTAATTATATTTTGACAACCCATTTATGAAGATTATATTTTCAGCTACTAATATATTATATTTACAGTAAAGTATGTTAACTTTCCAATATCGCTCAATTTGTTCTTCATTTCTTTATCCACCGTAAATGAAAACAAATTTACAAGATAAATAGTAAAACACTGCAACACTCACGGGGAGTAAATAAGACCAGAAGTTTTGAAAATTTAATGCAGGAACAGTGGAAAGTAAAAGGTACAAAATGATAACTACAAAAATAAAAAGAAAAAGTAGAAAAAAAGGGCGATTGGAAATTGCACCTTCTTTGTTTCTTTCTTTCTCTCTGAGGCAGGTGATGATGTAGAAGAATAGAATATGGAGGTCACAGTGGTTATGATTACCACTTGACCGTGTTGGTAAAAGCTTCTTCCTACTTGCTTATCAAGACAAGCATGCATGTCTTCGTGTGAGAATCTCTTTCATTCTTTTTAACCAACCACTACTATATATTTCTACCATTTATAAAATCGAAAGGGCATGTATCCATGGCTCTTGCGTCTTTACCCATTTATTTTCCTCCAGAAAGTGCTTCAACCTCAATGCCTGCTTGGTCTTTTTACCTTTCTGCTGTTGGCCCATTTAAACTAACTTCTAGAAAAACTTTTTCCCATTATGACCAAGATTTTAGAGCAAATATACATGAGCTAAGTGTTTTATTAATGCAATCTCTAACACATTTCTTAACATATATTATATTATTGATTAAAATTTATTTAGACTCACAAAATATAAGTTTCACTCCCTAATTAGTAAATCACACTTATTATTTCATAATTTTTAATAATGTTAAAAAGCATTTAAAAAAATATATCAGAAAATATATTGCTAATTAACACTCCTCAACCGTAATCACTTACCATCATTTGAGTGCAATAATTATGATGGAGCACAAAGGTGAACCATATACATGCATCCACGTTGAGGAAATCCTCTTGGCCTTTCATAATCCTTGCTTCTGAAATGATCATGATTATCCTCGGTTAATAATCATGTCTTCAAAGGAATATTAATAAGATGATACTAAGCAAAAATTCATAAACAGTTTATTATATATTAAAATGGCATTATTACAGCACAGGCTGTATAGGGCCATGTGAGCAATAAAAAGTGGTCGTATTGGATGGGCAAGGAAGAGAATGAGGTCAAAATCACCTTTAGAATAATAGACGTATGGGGTGTTCCTCTTTCTCTTCTTTCCTCGTGTGCAGCTTTCTACTCTACCAAACGAAACGAAGGCTTTTCATTTGTCACACCAGAAAGGGTATGTATGCTGAAATAATATTCATTAATATAAGTGCTGCATGCCCCCCTTATACACATTCTATCCTTTTTATCATTTTTTTGCCTAAAGCCATGGAATGGACCTATACAAGAAAAATTATTTTGCCTAGTCAGCTAGCCGTTGGGTCTTTGTAACACTAAATTAATGAATAATTAACACGATCATAAGATCCAGTTTAAAATTTAAATTGGGACTAATCAAAATATTGTAAAGGTAATGCTATTGGTACGTATAAAAATTTCATTGGTCCTATATTTTCAAGATATTAGCTAAATGTTATGTGTGGTTTTAGGATGATTAATTAAGTCGGGTAGTCACTGTTTCATTATGTCGAAATATGCATACATTAACTTTTGAGCAATTATATGAAAATGAAACTTTAGTTGAACCCATCCACGAGCTTAATTATTAAGCCATGAGAAGAGATGTGAAATAGCATATGGTTACTTCTCCTTTTGTTATCAACTCATCTTGCAGTGCTGGATGATATTGATTCTTATCTACTTCTTGCTCTCAGGTTCTTATTTGAAGCATATTTCATTGAAAACTTTATTGTTTAAGCAAGAGGTACAACAAAGCGAAGGGACTCTAATATGCCTACCCTGTCAGCATGCTCTTTTCCCATTCTCCATTTTGAAAGGAACTCGTACTTCCAAAGGATTGATTATTTCTTGAGTGAATTAAACTCAAACTTAAAATATACTCTCCTCTCATCTTACTTTACAATTCTTTTTTTCTGAAATATAAGTATAAGTTACATTATAAATTTTTTTAATTGTAAACAAAACTCTTAACAATAGTGAATAATTATAAAAGTTTCTTCTTATAATATTTTAATATTAACTTTAAATTTTTATTTTATTTTTTTTATATTTTAAAGTTACATAATTGATAATGAATATTTTATATTAGGTATTATTCATGTTAAGAATTACAACTAGAGAAAAAAAAATAAATCTCTAGAACACTCATTTATGTTAATACAAATTCAAATGCAATACTTGTTGTTTTTCATAAGAAAAGAATTGTATATTCTAAAATAAGAAGGAAAAAGCGTTATGCATCTCTTCAAAGAAAAATATTTTAAATTGATATCTATATCTATTAATATTCTATAACTATATGTAAAATTGACTATAAATACTATTGTATATATTTACTACAAAATTTATGATTATTAAACTTTTGAATGCTTAAAATCACTTATAATTGTTAGTAACTACAATTACTTCTTACTATGTGTATTTATATTAAATTTTAAAATTATAAAAATTTAGAATGAGCTACATTACCGGTAATATGAACATTACATTATTAAAAATAAAATATTATCTCTCATCTACTTATTATTATATATATTTATAAAAAAAATTATAACTATTAAAATTTAAAATATTTAAATTTATTTACATGGTTAATGATATAGATGGTCAAAACAAATGTTGTAATAATGTCAAAAATAAAAATAACACATTGACTATAAATTATATTTAATAATTAGTTATTATAATTAATTATAATATTTTGCATAACTTAATAATTAAAATTATCATCGATTCATAATTATTATCTTTAAATTGTATTTAAATAAATTCTATTAGAATTGGTTTTATATAAAAAATTTAAATATAATTCAAAATGATTCATAATTATCATTGATACATATTGCCTCATTGTTTATTAAAAAAAAATTTATATTTCTATTCATTGGTATAAACTTTTTTTATGTATTTTTATTTTTATTTTAAAATATATAATAATAATAATATAATAAATTTACATTATTTATATTTAAAAATAATTAAAACATTTTACTGTTTATTTTCATTTTTATGTTCTCTGTAATTTATTTTTTTAAATTATTTTTTATATTTACATCAACTACAAGAATAATAATTTTATTATTGAAGAGTATGAAAAATATATAAAATATATAAAAATTTATTTGTAAAAAAGTATTTATCATATTTTTTTAATGTAATTATATTTGACATTATTTAATATAATAAAATTTTATTATTATATATTTTTATATGTAAATTATAATTTTTTGTTTATTTTAAAATAAATTAATTTAAAAAAAATATAAACAAATTTATATAACACATAAATATATTTAATAATTTATAACTATATTATCATTATTATTAAGATTTAAAATTATATATAAATTAATTTTAATTGTTATATTTATTTTTTATATATAATTTATTTTAAAAAATAATTAAAATTTTTATTTTACATTTTTTATTTTTCTATCACATTAAAAATAATTATTATTTAAATTATAATTATTTTAAAACTAAATTAATTAATAAAAATATAAATATATTTGTACAAATCCGCACAACACACGCGGATATATTTACCAGTTTACTCATATTTCTTTACCTAAGTGTGGTCCCTTTTTTTCTCTTGTTTTCTTTCAATTTCGAAGTGCACTCCACGTGTACATATTGTTTGGTTTTTCTTTTTTTGGGTCAGTTTTGTACACAGTTTTTGTTTTCTTGGTGGATTAGAGGCAAAACAAGATGTAATATTCAGACAAGTAACCCAACTTTCTAACCCATGTTTTAAGGTGAGATTGTGTCTTACCCACCATTTCTGTCCAGCCCAATCCATATCCAACTCACAGGTTTAACACAGACAATAAGTGTACCAAGAAAAAAAAAACACCACAGACAATAATACCTATGGAAACAAGAAACGGTGGTATAAAATGATAATATTTTATATTTCTAATGAATTTTATAACTCAATCAATAGTCTCCTCTTTTGGACCTAATAATCAACTAGTGCGATGTGTTGATGCGGCAATTAACTTGTATTAAATTTATATGATGATATTTTGTAGCTTACCTAGAAATATTTTCTTTGTGAAATATAGTTGAGAAGAAAGAACTTTAAGAACTAACTGGAACAAGTGTTTTCTATTTTCAAATGATTATTTTGTAGCATTGAAGAAACCTAAAGTATGATTTACTTATTCTTTTATTTTGTGATTTCACAAAATATAGTAGCACAGCACTTCCTTAAGATAAGAGGAAACTATGCAGGATTAACTATTATGTTAATTGCATATGAATTTCTATCTTCAAAACACAATGCAGGTATAATCGTGTAAATGAACGACAACTTAGTGCCAAAAAACTGTTCTACAGCTGCAAAATACACCTTTTGACCATCAAAATGAGGTTTATTGGTCCTTAATTTATTGAAAAATGACGAGATTTCCCTCTCTTAAGACGCCAGCCTGTATGAAATTTCGGTCATTGCACAGATGCCAGCAACGAGACCCATACAGCAGACAAGGGAATATTTATGTTGCCAAAATTAAACAGGCACCTCTACTTGAGGGTATAATTTGTGTGGTCCTTTTTCAGTATGCACAAGAATCTCACTATCATTATTCTTGGCTATAGTTTTTTTTTTTTTGCCTCTGTTTTTTAACTATTCATGGCCATAATGTCTATTTGATTGCCGTTTTCACAAATTCACAATGCTTTCCAATTGGGTACCGTAAAACCACGCAATCTTCATAAATTGAAGGCAGAAGCAACAAAAAGGATAAAGAGCCAGATTATAATGCATGGTTAGACTTTCATTTTCTATCATTCCCCCTCCCTGCTAAGCTTATTGTTTTGGGGGAGGGAGTGGTGAATGGTGATTAATTCCTGCCCTTTAAATGGTTTACAGTGACACATTGATATACAAATTTAATTATCAGAAATTCTTTTGGCTGCGCAATGAATTCAATTTCCCAAAAATCCAGACTCCTCTGTTCTAGCACCCCCTTCTCCTTAGACTCAAGTTCTAATCAAGGATTTTTTTTTCCCCCCTAAATTAGGTTTAGTCAATACCTTCTCAGGCTGATTTTCCTTCATATTTTACTCTCTAAATGCTGACAGGTCTTTAACTTCTCTTTGTTAGCAAAAGAAATAAATTTGACTCTCAATACCATCCAGGCAAAATTTACTTGGAGCTTTTCACAAAAGCCACCCCCACATCACTCACCTAGTGTCCCTAATGCAGGCAACCAATTCCACCATGCCCTGCATCACCAGAACCAGAAGCAAACTCCCAAGATTCACAAGGGCACTCAAACTGTCCTCCATTAACTCCTCAGCAACTGGCCACTCATCTTTGTAAAATTAAATACACCTACCAATCGCCATCTCCAATGGATAGTCATCATGCATTAAAACTATCTCTGCTGGCCAGTTCTGACCTAATGATTTCACACCCCCAAAATCAATGTGATTCTTGATTTTTGTTTTCACATGTTTTAGTTTACCAAAGCGAATTAGGTCCGTTATTTTTATGGTTTAACGACAAATTCTTGCTCATTCGCCCTCCTATAAAGCAATGCTGATGCTTCCACCCTGTTTTTTGTAAGGAAGGGATAAAGAAGCAAAACAGGTCAAATTCAGGTGAAAAAAAAGACAGAGAGGGCCAAGCATGAGTGTAAATTATTAGAGAAACTCACCAGCCAGGATGGACAACAAATCTTCCAGTAGAAAGAGCCCAATTCACCTGCTCAAGACAAAGGAAAGAAAAAGTAGCACTTGTCAAACTTCAATTCAATCTAATGAACAAGATCATATCCTGTCCAACCACCATAACAGTTAAGATTTTACAACATGTTGGTCCTGGAAGGGGCAAGTGAAGAAATAGGGGTAGTTGCAAAAGAAGCATTGAATAGGAAAAGGTCCTTTAATAAGTACGAGTAAAATGGTCCTTTTTATAAATTGATCTCTGCAAATATGCAATGGACTATTTTCAGAGTTTAAGTTGCCACTCAGCCTGATAGATCTCCTCAGTATCCACTTTTCTAAAGACTTAAATCAAGTTGGACCACGAATAAATTCATTTTCACCCAATTTCATCATTCAGTTAATGTCTTTATATCATCAAGTGCTATTCTAATATGATGAAGTACTGTAGCATATCAAACAACTGAATCTTTCTTTATATGCACTAAACAAAATAATGGATGCACACCCAGAGACAAATTATCATAAACAATGGAAAGTTGGAAACAAAACTATACCTTGTCAGTACCAAGAGAATTTGCAACAACATGAGTAACCTGTTCATCAATCTGGGTCGTGCAAACAGCACCAAATTGTTCAGCTGTCTGCCACAATGGGTGAAGGTGAGGATTTGCTTCACCAACAGGAAACACCCTACTAAATACTATTCGACAACCACCCAAGATTTTCCTCTGCTCTGATGCTAGTATATTTCTGACATCCACTTCCTCTAAGGATTGAGAAGCAAAAAAGTTTTGGTGTATTCTCTCAATAACCTACTTGAGGAAGAGAAGAAATTACCAACTGAAAAATAACACAACCATCCCACATTAAAATGAAAATTGACAATGAACTCACTGCCAAAGAAGAGGCCAGAGTTCCAGCCTCAGGTCTCTCATCATGATCAATCTCAAGAAGGGAAGGACCAGGAAGCCCAAATTGACGTCTACTGCAGGGGAAGTAAGTATACCTGCGAGATTTTAAAATTTAGTACAGGGATGATTCATCTGCTCCGTAGATAAAAGCAGGAAATAATTACATGTAAGTGTGAAACCTGTGTTACACTGACCTTTCCACCACTATCAGGTTCAGTTTGTTATGGGGCCAGACCCTCACAGAATCATCTATAATTACAACAGCTGATTCCATACCCAAAACACCTTCCAAATCTTTGCTTTTGGGAACTCTCTCATCACCATCAGCTGAATCAGTATCATCACCTCTAGAAATAACTCTACCAGCAAACAAAACTCCCTTTGGATCAAGCACCTTTGCCATTTCTGTTGCATATAGCTTGTTTCCCATAGTGTAGAGATGCAGCTCATAGAGCTTACTAGCCTATAAAGCATTTCAGGAAGATGTGAATTCCTTGTTTCAAAATTAAGCACTAGTATGATGTCATGCCTAAAACATGCTATCGAATTCATATTACCTTCTCCAAGAAGTTCCAGATTCCTGGTCTGAGTTTAGTCCACATTCCCATATGAGGAAAGCGAAAAAGCTGTCTGTGAGGCTTTTCACGATCCTGCTCTTCTTTCTTTCTCAGTATCTCCTCATGCACGGGATCAACTTCCACAAACTGAAAAAGAAAAGGTTAACATGCAATAACACCAGCTTTCATCCACAGGAGAAACCATTCCATACAAATTACCTTGGCAGAATTAAGAAGTGTGTGATCTAAGTCCAATACAAGGCACAGTTTCCGTGCAGCAAACATTTTATTCTGTTCTTCAATCCTCCTTGCCCTCTCTCTTTGTATAGCAGCCCTCTGCTGCTCATCATAACCTTCAAAAAGATGCTCAACATCTGCCCATGTACTCTGAGATCGAGAGGTACCCAAAGCACCTGTTTCAGGAGTTGATCCTACACCAGCATGCAGGTTCTGAGAGTTTGACACTACAGATTTCTGTTCTACTCTGTCTACAATCAAGGGAACAGATGCAGAAGAAAAATTTTGAGCAACAGGAGAATGATTTGATGATTCTTGGGAAACAGACATAATATCAGCAATGTTTTTCAGATTCCTGGTGAACTGTCGAGTAATATCAGGTGGTGCATTTGATTGATTAGTTGTCAAATTTGTGTCCGCCCTAGCCTCAACCTTCTGGGCATTGACATTGTCCCCATTCCCTAGGTTATTTAACACAGGAGATACAATGGCTTTGAATTGCTCATTCCCTAAGCTCTCACTCTTCTGGATAGTATTATTACTATGGAGAATGCGCCGTGGATCACGCAGTTTCATGCGAATCTTTCCTGAATCATCTTGTTGACTTTGTGCCTGATTGTGTCAATCACATGCAAAAATGTAAACTACAGACAACTTGAAGAGATTTTCATGTCAAAAGAATATGACTTTCAAATTTGGCAACTAAGTTTTTTAGACCAAGTACATTCCTAATCAAGGATCAAAATGTTATAAACTTCAATTTAATTCTTAGAAGTAAGAGAAGGGGAAAAAAAAAGATAAATGGAAGATAACACCACAGACACTGGTGAATATCAAAAATTGACTTAAGTGGTGTATGCTTAAGACAAATAATATCATAAAAGCATTTTACCATGGAAGTTGCTTGTGATGAAACGGGAAGCATTCCCAAAGAACTTTGAAGAAGACCAGTGGTCACTGATGGAGCAATGCTCACAGTTGAGTCTGTTCCCATTGCTGCATTTATGCTTGTTGGATGTTGGGTATTTGTAGCAGAATCAGCAGATTTCTTTTGGGCATCTCCTGTTAACCTCAGCTGTTGCTCTCTAAGTATGTTTAGCAACATGGTTGGATTTACAGCTATATCTTTCAATAGAGAAGGTAAGGAAGCTGTGGCGTTACTACTTGTAACTGGTGCCTGCTCATTTCCATTGTTTGTCACGCTGAAATTACCAGAACCACTACAGGAACTACTGACTGTATTCAAAGTCTTTTTGGGTTCAGCTCCAAACTTCTCCATTAAATGGTTCCTCTCTGTCGACTGAGTTCCAGCCAGAGTATTCTCTTCCAACCAACCACCATTTCCAGCTAGAGTTCTTACTTCTCTCATATTATGCTCAGGATGTTCCACTGAATTTTTTAGTCTTTTTGATACAGTGGCATCCAAAGAAGGCTCTTCAGAAGCCTTTTGTTTTCTTGAATTTATAGGTCCAGCATATTCCACCTTAGACATCTTATGTACCACTGCAGGTTGGTTATCCATAGCACTTGCATCAGAATTAATGAAACGTAGCCTAGGATCTCTACTCTTTAAAGAGGTTTTCACTGGGTAAGACCCAGAACCTGCTGCATCAATTCTAGAACTAATCAATCCTTGAATGCTGGACCTATCCATGGAAGTAGCAGAAACAGTTGTCTGGTCCAAAAAGGTAGGCTTTGTGCTTGTTAAAGAACAAGCAACAGAAGCACTAGAGACCTCCTCATTTTTATCAACAACCTCATCCTCACAGTCGCCTGAAGGAGTTGGACTTGGAAGTTTATCACTTGTAAAGAAGGAACTTCGACCAAACTTCTGTTGATATGTGGAAACAGCTTTCAGAGCATCAGTTTCATAGAGATGAAATTTAGAATCTTCAGTATCCAGTTCCATCTTTCCAGCCTCTGTCTTACCAGCCTCTATCTTAGAGGCAGGAAACACAGATTTAGACATACCCTCTCCAACAGCAAATGACTTATTCACAGGAAAGCAGGAGGGTGCTTCTCGTGTGGGCGATGGTAAACTGTCTGCATCATGATCCTTGTGAAGGTCTAGCAGAGGGAGCAGAATACCTCTACCTTTAACACTATTTTGTCCAAATTTTAAAGCTTGTGATTCCTCAATTGTGTTACTATGCAAAGGCTTACTAGAATAAATCAATTCACCAGTTTTCACAACTGGATTTTGCTGAGAATTCATCTCATGGCTCAGCAATTCTTTCTCCTTGCCAATAACCTCACTATTACCTAAAGCACCAACAGAATTGATTGCAGTCATCATGCCCTGAATCTGTGCAAAGAAGCAACCAAACTTCAGATTCTATCACATCTTTGAATTCCAAATTTTAGGATTGTCAGGAGGAAAGTGAAACAACTTCCTAAAACGAGTTATACATTAAACATCACCTCTTTCATATGCTCTGGAGAAAATAGAGCTTGTTGATCCTTTACAAAAGAAAGTAATCTGACATGAAAATTGTAACCAAGGAAACATAAGTTAGTGATAGATGGCATAGCAACTTGAAACAATTCACAACTGCAAGCTAAAAACTTGTATTTTGAAAACCTTATTATGTTATCCTTGTTCTGTTCCTTCTCCGAAGAGTCCATGGAGCAGAACACCTACAACAAATACAAAAAAATCGTGATAAAACTCCCAGCCGAAATAGCATCAAAAGAACCAGCCATGAAAAAGGATCCCGAGTGTCTTACAGAATTAACTACTTCAACTGCATTAAATGCCAAGCGAACAAGATCATCCTTTTCAGAATCAGCAGGTCTAGAAAGCACTTCAGGCAAGGCATTCTTCAGCCTACAGCATGTTTCAGCAAACGATCTACAACAAGAAGTCACCAAAAACCAAAAAGTTAATTCGAGTTGCCAACTTGGCAAACTGGTAATGCAACTCCAATTTCAGAGAAAAAGAACAAAATCCATTAACAGTTTCACTTACTCCACCACATTAGCAACGGTAACACCCTCCAGAACATCTCTAACACCTAGTTGCTCATAATTAGAAACAGCAGAACTAATTACAACACTCCCCGCTTCAGGGTCAGCATCTGCATCAATCTCACCCTCTTCCAACTCCCCTTCCTCTTTGTCAACATCCACCACCACCAGCTCCTTAGAATTCACAGCAGCCGTGGATGATCGATTGGAGTTGTTGTAACTATTAGCATTGGCATCAGAATCCGGTTCCATCACAAAAATATCATTCAAAGGCTTGTTCTGCACAGCCTGTGCCCAAGCAAGGTTATACAAACCCGAAGCATAACCACGACATATATTAGGGTACTTCGAGTAAAGATCATGAACAGCCCAAACCCTAGCATCACTCCCTTTGGGATTAATGTTATTATTCACTTTAACAACATCTTGCTTATTGAAATCCTCTTCGGTAATCTCTTCCACCGAAGCAGTGTCCGAAATCTCCCCCTCTTCCACATCCTCAACCTCTTTTACCATCTCCAAATTGCTTAATTTCACACAATCTAAGGTCGACGCAAATATCATAGAATAGAAGACGTTAAAACAAACGGCCACAAAATCGCAATCGAATCAGCAGAAAAATTTTAGGGCAACGTAGTTTAATTAGGGTTCCTATTTGAATCCTTCGAGATCTCGTGAGATTTAAGGAACGAAGGCAATGTCAAATCGGAATCCGAGGATTCTCGGTGTCGGATCTGTTTGAAAAGATCGACAATCGCCGAGGGGTTTCTTCAGATCCAACGAGGCGTGAAGCAATCGAGTTTTAGATTCGAGAAAGAGAGAAAAATAACAGTGACGATAATAGTGAAAATTTGTAATATCGTAAAAAAAAATTTAAAAATTCAAAACCGTACGCGACGGTGGCGAAACAGAAATGCGAAATGGAGGAAGCGAGAGAGGCTTTTATAGGGATACGATGCGAAGGAGAATCTAAGTGTGTGTGGATTTTGAATCTCAACCGTACACGTCAGTGATCCCCGAAATAAACCCCGTGCGCTTACGAATGAGAATGACAGTAGTACAATGTATACTATGCCACTGGTAGTTTTGTTGTGTTTCCAATTCTCAAAGTAAAATTATGTTAATTATTTTAAAAAAATTAATTATGTTTTTTCTATAAAGAATGTGTTACATTTATAAAAATAAAAATATATCCTATATTTTATTTTTATAAATTAAAATTTATTTATTATTAATAATAAATATTAATTTATATTAATATGTTGAATGGCGATAAAATTTGAAGATAATAAAATTTTATAAAAAATACAAAATTTTTAACTAATATTAAATAATATAATTTTTAATAAAATTATATTATTCATTATCACATGTTCTTTAGCATTTATTAAAAAAAATCGTACAATATTTATAAAAACAAAGTATGAATGATTTATTTTTACAAAAGAGTTTAAAATTTATTAAATATAAAACAACCCCATTTTATAAAACACGTTTAATATAGGAGATATGTCGTTCTAAATTATAAAATCGATAACAGAAATTTTACCTTTCTGTTACGCTCTATTTATTATTCAAATTCATGAATAAGTAACAAAATCTCTAAGAAAATAAAGTTTTAAACAAAAATATATATAGTATAGAGGTTGACATTTAATTATATCAACAAAAATTAAAATAAAATAAACTAAGTAATATAAGCATACATTTTTTTGGCAATAATATTTGCAACATACTTAATTATTTCCAATTAAATTTAAATATGTATATATATATATATATATATATACACATATTAGAATGTTTTAAAGAAAATAATATTTACAATAATTTAATTAGTATAATTTATAAAAAAAACTTGATAAACGGGTTAAATTTGTGAAATTTCAAAAGTAAAAATACTTAATTTACTTAACATCCTAAGAATATTAAAAATTTGAACATAAATATGATTAGAAATTTGAAGGGAGTAAGCTTCAAGTTTAAATAATATATTTAAAATTTTATAAAAACTTATTAATTGTCCAAAACTCCTTTAATTTATCATTAATTCACTAATGTAAAAAATTTATCGTCTAACACTTCTTTGTATTTAAGTTTGATCTACTTGTAATTTGTATTTTTAACTTATTTTTTAAATAGACTTATACTATAAGTTTGTGTGTTTTTCTTCCCTTGAATTTTCTTAGTATCACAAGTTTTTCTTTTTCTTTTCCTCGATCATTTGTGTTTTACTTTTGTACTTCTCAATTTCTTTATTTAAACTCTAATATTATATTAAAATTTTAAATGAGTCTGATAACAAAGGAGAATCCATAAACTTTAATTTTGAGAGATTTATTTAAATAGTAATGTAAAAATTTTATCGTCTAATTATAATTTGTGTTTTTAACTTCTTCTTTTTTAATGGACTTATAATTTAAAGCCAACCCTTTATCCAGTGTGTGGATCCAAAATGATCAGTATTATTGAGTTTGGATATATTAATCAATCCTACTCTACCTACATAGTTAATCACAGTGTTAAATTAACAGAGTAATAACCAAACATGGTTAGGTCATCAATTCAAACCCACTTTGTTCATGAAAAACCACTTCTCATTTCTCTATTTTTCCATGTTAACAAAAGACAGGTAAAACATCAACTTTCAGTACTTTATCACATACACAATATTTGAATTAATTGTTCATGAAAAAATTATTATCACACTATATGATTATTTAGTGACAGGTAAAAGTATTTTAAATTTGATTGCAGTGTTATGTTTAATATTCGATCCTCCAACATGCCTTTTTCCTTTTGCCACCCTAATGCTTATACCTTCCTTCTAAACTCCCCATGCAACAAAAAGTGTATTGTTAAATATAATTCATAATATAAACTATTATATTAAAAGTAAATGTGTGAATAAATCAAAACTAAATCAATGAAGAAAAGAATAAAGTTTGCTGTTAAATTATCAGATAATATTAATTATAAATAACTGTGAGATGAGTATACAATTTATAATTGCAATTCTCTTATTTACATATAAAAATACATACTATAATTTATGTTTACATCATTAAATCGATTTATATATTATAAATTTTCCTTCAACTATAATCTCTAATTAAAAAAAAAAAACTAATTGGATGTATCAATTGTACATTTATGCCAACGTTTAATATCATATCAGCAAATTCTATTAATTATTTTAATGGCTTTAGTGATCTGGAGTAATATGAGTTTTTTGAAATGAAACAACATAACTGTACGATGAAATTTAAACATAAGAAAATTAAATGTTTACATAATAATAATAAGGATGTCGTTAATCATATTCTTAAAAGCATTTGTTAAAGATTAATAATTTTTTATAAAAAATATGTTGGAGATATATTAAAAATCATGATAATAATAATATTTTTATTATTATTTCATGTTTAAATTTTTTAATATACTAATTAACAGTTACTGGATGAAAAAAAATTTAATTATCAAGTTAAGAACTCAAATAGTATAAATAGTACTTTATTTATTTATTTATTAATAAAATTATTAATTACTTTACCTTTTCTCTGGAGTATGACTTCATTTGTTGAAAAGTAATATATAAATCTAGTGATAACAAAATATACTAATATATATTTTACAATATTTTATATTTAATTTTTTTTAATAAGAAAAACGCCTATCGGTATATAACTAATTTTCTTGCACTAAAAATGTTTCATGTTATTTTTTTTAATTTTTAAACTCTTTGACTCAAATATATAATAGCCACATGTATTTTTAAATATTAATTTGTTAATCCATTTAGGTTATTGATTATTTATTTATTTTATCTTCACTCTTAACCTTTGTGTATTCCCCTCACTTTTTAAATATTGGTTTATTAATCCATTTAATTTTATTAAATTGTTATTTCTTTTAACTCTATGTCTCTTAACCTTTTATATTTATAATTAAATTAATATTAATAAATTTACAAGCATTAAATCAATAATTTAATATTTCTTTCTATAGTTGTGTTTTAATTAATTGTATTAATTATATGTTTATCATAAGTTAAAAACAAATTTATATAACTAATAATACAATATAAATAATTAATAATATAAAAAATGTATATAAAATATTAAAATATTTCCCTACATATAATTTTTATAATTTTTAATCATCTTATCAATTATTTTATTTATAAGTCTTTAGCTTTTATATTTAAAATATTTTTCTTTAAGTAGTTTCCACTGTTTTTAATAAATAAACTATAGGAAGTACTAAATTCAGTAAATAATATTTTTAAGTAATTTTGATTTTTTTTCTAAATACACACTTAACATAATAAAATAATTATTCAATATTAAATACAACAAAGTATAAACAATTAATTATATAAAAATAAAATTAATAAACAATTATCAAACTGTTACATCGTACATATTATAAAATATTGTTTAATAAACAAAAATTGAGTGCATTTGTTTATTAAAAGACTTGAAATGTTATTATTTTGCTAGTGCATTCACCATTGTTTATCAAACACGTAGAAATAATTGTAAATGTATCAAAATGAAAATGTTTAATTTTTATAAAATTCAAGGAAAATTATTTTACAAAATAATAAATACTTTAAAACGAAAAGAGTATAAATATGGACGTGTTCAATGTCCTTTTCTCGTTTAAAACGAAAAGAGTATAATAACATTTATATGGGCTATTATTTTCTTGATTTACAAGTGTATTATACAAATCATTAAAATTGATTTATAATTTATTTGATCAATTTAAAATTTATTTAACTAGATTATATATATTTAAGAGTATAATTTTGATGTACCGTTGTTGTAAAAAAAATTATTAATTAATTAAAATATATAATAAATATAAATTTAAACTAATTATTACAAAATTAAGAAATTTTTATTGATATAATAATTTATTACTGAAAGAGAATGTAACTCTTAGTGTATTTTAATAAATTTTAATTCTTAATAAAAAAATAAACTTATTTTAGTAGGATATAATATTTTTGTGATAAATTTTATATTTAAATTTAATTTTAATGTATGGTTAATATAAAAAATATATATTATCAGCTAAATAAAATATAAGATAAATATAAATTTAAAGATTATAAAAGTTAAAGAATATCATTGGTATAATAATCACTTTTTGTAATGTTTGAATTATAACTTTTGTTTTATTATCTTCAGTGTCTTATTATATATCTTTTAATAATTTTTAAATATCATTTTATAATTATTAGTTAATTTAATTAAATATTTTTAACGTTGAGCTTTTAACTTTTAATTGCTTTTTAAAATTTTAACTATTTATTAAACTTTTTAACTGGTTTATGAGTTAATTTTGTCAACTCAATCTGGTGGTCCTCTTCCTTATCTAAACTTTTGTTTTTTGGGTGTGCTTCCTTATCTATTATTGGTTGAAGATGTCAACCTACGCAGAACAAAAATAAAAATTGTCAACCTACGACCTATGATTATTATTATTTTGGATTAAATTATCAAGATCCACGACATTTAGATTTAGTAGCCAAGTAAATCTATTCAACATTTAATTCAACGAATTTAGCTCTTTTATAATATTAAATATAAAATAATACCTAAAATTATATTTATAGAGTACTTAAATTTAACTCTATAAAACCGGAATTCAACCGTAATGGCGCAATCTATTAAGCTTCACCAACCTTTTCCCCAATCATCATCACAGATATTCAACGGCGCAAAACATTAACAGGTGCATTGCACTTTTGTACCCTACCGCACCGGAATATCCCTATCTCCCTTATCCTGCGCACACCGTCACAGCTACTGCAACCGTAATGGCGGCAGAGCCCGAAACACACCCACCGCCGCCGGAACCTCCAATCATCTCCGAACCGGACGCCGAGGCGGAAACGGCGCCGTCGGCTGCAGCAACAACGGCGCAGCCAATCGCGGAAATTGCAGGCCAGTCTCCGTTAGCTCCGAAACGGCAACGCCGTCCGAGCGTCCGATTGGGGGAGATCGGCGACCAACGCGGCTCCGCACATGGCCATGAGTCGCACACACGCCGCCCGAGCATGCCGCCGTGGAGCTGGCGTACCCCGAAGGAATCTTCTAGAACATCGAAAGCGCGCCCCGTGACAAACATCGCGAACGGCGGCGAAGAGTTCCGAATGAACAACCGCAGAGGCAAGGGGAAGCGAGGCCCATCGACTAAGCGGTTGAGGTCGAGTTGGACTCCTAGAACAACAATGGACGAGAACGGAGACGAAGGGTTTAGGGATTTCGATGAGGACCAGAGTCCGGTGCACTCAGTTGAAGAGAACGGGGTGGATTATTGGCACATCGATCGGAACGATGATCACAGGGTTAGGGTTTCGGAAAACGACGGCGTTGAATCGGAATCGAGGGAACGGAGGAGGAGCGAGGGAGTGAGGTCTTGGCTTTTTGAGTTAGGGCTGAGTAGGTATGCTCCTATGTTTGAGATCCATGAGGTGGATGATGAGTTGCTTCCCATGTTGACTTTGGAGGATCTCAAGGATATGGGCATCAATGCTGTTGGTTCCAGAAGGAAAATGTACACTGCAATTCAGAAGCTTCGGAAAGGGTTGCCATGAACCAGTTGTAATGGAATGGAATGAAGATGTATGTATGCATGTATGTATTTATGTGTAGTTTCTTTGTTTTGCTTTTCATTGTGGATAGAAAATGTATGCATGTATAAGAGTTTTTGGTCTATCTATATGGTGATTGAACAATAGGGGATTAGTGACTGTTATATTTGTTCTCTTGTTGAAACTTTTTGATGACACGTTTTCTTTCCATTTTTCCATAATGAAATGGTGAATTGAAATTGCTGATTTGCGTGGTTGCTTATGCAATGCAGTACTCATAGTCATGATAATTAAGTCTTGAAATTTGAAGTATTTTCTCTTTCATTTTAAGTCTGCAAATCTGTTATTTTGAAGTTATGTACAATTTAATCCGTTTGAGCTTCTGGTTAAGCTAAGGATTGGTTTGTCTTTGTAAAGTCGAATATTGTGGAATCATGACTTGAAGTATGTAAAGTTGTCCTATAATTGATGAGAATGACCTCTCTGGCCATTCCTTGTAACTTCTGTATTCGTCCATTAATGCCATGCTAAGGACTAAGGGGATTTATACCCTTTTCTTACCTTTTTCTGTCATTTAGAGCAAGACTTCAAGGGTGTTAATCTGTTACTTTCTTCTGACTGATTATTGAAAAATGACTCTTCCTTTTCCTCACCTATGAGTGCTGATTGTCTTTGTGCCAAACATTCTGAAATGCTCCTTCACATAATTGACTCACACGATCCATGTAGAAGGATGTTTTATTTCTGATTCCACCATTCCTGGTCCCATTGACTCAGATTATGTTGATATACTAAAATAAATGGTATGCTTCAACCAGATTCAGATCTTGGCAGTGAAAAGCAAGTGAGAATAAACAAACAGTTTATAGTTATCAGATTTTATCCTTATTCTTACTTTACATAAGATTGTATATGTATGACCGAGTTGAGAGACTTTCTTCTTTTATTTGTTGTGCATGTGGTTAACTTGTTAATGAAATTGAAGTGAAATGAGGTTTGGTTTCATTCTCATTTAAGTTTGATGGCCGCATGATTCATATTCTGTCATGCAACATTGAGAAGCTAACTGTGGTTTCAAGCTTAATTACTTTTTGAGTTAAGATTAATTTATATATCTTTTTGTGAGATCTTCCTACCTATTAATGGCATTCTTCTTTCTGAAGTGCTCATTCACTTCTAGGCTGATGATGAATGTGCTTTAATCCCAACAGCCCATAATATCATTGGACAAAATTTAAGTCCATTTATTTAGATTTTTTTTGTATTATTTTTTAATTGGAATTAGAATTTTACTTTAATATTGTATAACAACGTTAAATACGGACCATTTGTGGAAATAAAATTTAATTGAAAATAATACAAAGACTTAAGGAACAGCACTTAAATTTTATTCTTAATATTTCTTCACGTCAAATCCATATTCCGTTTGATTGACCTCCCATTCTAAATGTTCCTTCTCGCTAGTTAAGAATCTATTCTGTTCTATTGATTTGTCATTTCTAACCAAGGTTTTCCAATTTTCATGATTGTTGTTATAAGTTCCTCTAGTTACCTCATAACATGAATGGAATTCCAGTTGCTTGCACCTTTCCCCGTCTCTAATATTCTTTAAGTCTCAACCACTCTTACAAGAATGGAAATATGGTATACAATTCAAATTCATTTGTATGATTCCCTTATCCGGTATTTTTCAACTAGGGGATTTTGTGTTTTTAATCATAGGTTCATGGGATAGGTTACGACATATTTATCTCAAATTTTATTGATTTGCAACTTTTAATTGATTATATATTTAAATTTGAACTTGACCTGATCAAGATTGATGGTATTTAAGAGAGGACTGGGTTGATTCTATTTGTAGACATAATATATTAATGTTAACATATGTATAATTAAATATAATATCATGTAAACTGTTATCCAATAAGTAAAGAAATTTAATTATTAATATATAATTGTTGAAAGTGATATATATATATATATATATATATATATCATGCCTATTTGAATTCAAACTATGATTTGAATTCGTTTATAAACATACTGCGACTCATTTTTAAACCTTAAATATGTCAAAATTGATTTTGGGGCAAGACTAGATGGGTAATGAACATTGAATACTCATATACTTCAGTCAAAATAAGACGAAAAAAGTATCGATAATCAATTGGAGAGTAACTAGATGATCATATGGTATGGACGAGAATCTTTTGGAAAGGAATTAAGTTGCTCCAATTTTTTTCATAATGAAGTACTATGATAACTAGAACGTCCTTTTGCTGAGTCTAGAGGAGAAGTCCAAGTTCAAACATTGAATTGAAGATTGTACTTTTGGAGTTGTTGGTCCTCAAATGTAGTAGGATGCACTTGCTAAGCCAACATAGTACAAACAAATGGAGAAAATGCATTGAGAGGTTCTTCACAACAGCCTTCATAAAACAGTTTTGGGGACCGATTCTAGACTTTTAGCAGTGACAATGTTTCATGTTAAGCAACAAGAGGGAAAAAAATAGAAACATCAACAATGTGATGAGCATAATAAGCAACTCGAAAGAGAGGCTTACATGTTACATGGACTACTAAGGATTGGACTATGGTTTAGATCATAGTACATGGTACACACAATACAAAAATAAGAGCCACGTCATATTATTGTGCATTTGGGCACCATTTCATACTGCAGGGCCTTTTGTTATGGGTAAATTATAAATATAACATTCTTCATGTTGCAATCAATTTCAACTTTCATAGATAAAGTTTATTTTGTCATAATTTTCATGACGTATATTTTAAAATAAAAGGGTCAATTTTGTTGGTTTTAATGTCTTAAAGGTAACTTGAGAAGCACGTGTCTTAAAAAAATAGGTAATTTGGTAAACTACTTCAACTTATTGCAAATTTACTCACGAGACTTTAAAACTTATATAATTTAGTATTTTAAATTTAACTAAAAAATTAAAGGAATTATGTGTTACAACTTACAAAATAAACTTCATGTGTGAATATTTAAAATCATTTGAAACACGGGTTATACATAATTTACTCCCTATTAAAAGCCGGAAACAAAATGTGAGACAACGATCATATTTAGGAGTTTAAGACTATTGAGTTTCTTTTTTTTGGTCAACAGACTCTCGAGTTGATTAGCGTTTCTTTTGGGCTTGGAGATTTTGAAGAATTGTCAAGATAATGGGCCTATCTCAGGCCATAATAACAAAGTGGCCCAGTTAACAATCTTCATACAAGTTCCTAACGAAAGTGAGTGTTGAGAAAAAAAAGTGAGATGTAACTGACCAAAAACTATGTTGACAAAAACTAAAACCCGACAAAACATTATAAGAGGACAGTGATATGTTTTTCCTACCAAAAACATGAAATGTTAAGCAAAGCTTTTAAAAAACCTGATCGGTGATTGAACTGTGTACAAACTGATTTAAGGTTTGATGATTTGATCGTACCTTCACACACTGACTATTTAGCTTGTTGCCAATTTAATAATAATAATAATAATAATGACTTTATCGTTATTGTTGTTATTTTAAATTTTTACCATAGTATTTAAAAGTTAAATATTTATCAATTTATTTAAAGATTTAAACTATTTAATATACAATTTAATCTTATTAACTTATTTAGAGGTAGATTCTTCAACTAATTATTTAAAAGGCCATACCATTTATTTTTTTTAAAAGGCTAAGTTAAACCATAAAAAAACCATATACGTTGAATGAATAAGTTAAAATAAATCTTTATATTTTATATAACACTGTTAAATTTATTTCTTATAAACTATTACTCAATACATTTTCGCCCTTGTATATATAATCTTTATAAATATTGAAAGTGAAGCTTTTTAGTCACATGTCTTTTGAATTTTTATATTAAATTAATTAGTCAATTCATTTTTTAATAGTACATCATTATCTAAAAGTAAGCTAAAATTTGTTAAGTATACAAGTTTTGAAGAGAAAATGTAGGCTGCAATCAATAATACATGCGTGATGCTATATAACAAATGATTGACATTTGACATTACTAATGTACCCAAAAAAAAATTGATATTGATTACTTATGACATAGGTATGCTTGTTGCTTGAGAATAAACGATAAATGAGAATAAAAAAGAAACTAAAAGGGGAAAATGGGTTAGTGGATCAAATTAGATTGAGTTTTGTGCTTGGTAATACAGTTGATGGCAATTCCTCACCCACCCCGCTCAACATGGGAATACAATTTTTGGTAATGCTACCCACCCCAAAACCCTAATGGAATAAACACTGTTTTGGGGGATGTGATTCTCCATAATCTCCATGTCAATTAAAGAAATATAAAGGGGAAGAAAAATCAAAATAAATAATAATCAAAACCCATTAGAATAGAAAAATTGGAAAACTAATAAAAAAAAGAGAATTGAAAAAAAGAAAAGAAAAGAAAAAGGAAAGAGTTTAGATAAGTTAACAAGGATACAAAACGATGCATGAGGCAAATTTAAGTTACTTGGGGGGTCTTCACTTGTTTTAAGAAGTGCTTCTACCGTAATGGAGCACCATAACATGATCTATGGTTGAGGAATCTGAAAGCAAAGCTCTAGTGGTGTCCCTCGGAGTCCAAATGGTATCCCTCACATGCTGCAACGTCAAGGAAGGTAAAAGTTGTTGCCCTTTGCATGTTATCTCTATCTGCAACAGTAGTTCATTCATTGCAAGTTTATTCCTCATTATCAACTTGCACATACACATCACGTGGGTATACAGTGATATATCCACCACGAGAAGATATATGATGTGAAACTAAAAAGCAAAGTAACCATGGAAATACAGTACATGACCTTAATTGAAATCCATGCACATTGTAATTAGCCATGGTTAAACTCATTATGCATATGATGATAGCTTCACATCAAGTGCGTGATTAACAAAAATTATACTTATAATGTTCATTACGTCTTTCCATCTTTTCCAATTTCATGATTTTTATATACCTTTCTTATGTGCCTTATATTTTGGTACGCTGAAATATATCATCATGTTTACTTTTCTCATATATAATCTCTCATCCTAATATATCTATATTCTATATGTGTCTTTACGCGACGGCTCGCTTTAGTTCACTTCCAAGTAAAGGCTCTACAATATTGAAAATATATATACACACAATGTCATAATAAAGGCTTAGAGAAATAAAAGAGAAACAACTGTTAAAGTAATTAATTTTCTTAATCACTTGACTTGATGAGGAGATACAAATTTTACTCAATGTTTGACTCTTATCTTTTTAAGATATTATTGATTTTCCCCACTAATCGTCACGACATTAATTAATTAATCTTCCATTTAATTTAGATGCACACATAAATTTACTGGTGAAGAGACCATAAACAGCTACAAAACTTACAAATTAATCACTAAGCTAACGTATATAATTTATTTATTTTTGGGATGAAAATCACTGACACAAACTATAGATACAGGAGCATCATACATAGAAACTAAATCATGATAAAGTAAAACCAAAATTTAAATTATTCATACAAAAAATTAGCTATCTAATTTTGTTTCTTTATAAATATAGTGAATATGAAATCAGTATGAAGTCATGCTTTGTCAGTGGCTTACGTCTTGGGCCTACTTACCAACGCATAAGATCTTTGTAACTTGTGCTTTACGCATAAGATTGATCTACATCTCCACTTTCCTATTTCATTTTAATGTTTCAGAAAAGTAATTTCCTTTAAGCCAAGAGATTCCTAAATCCTTAAGCATGCACGCATATTTGGGTCAGCGGGCAATCGTGGAAATGCCCACCCAACCCACGATCTTTAAAACTGCCCTCTCTTTAATCATTATGGGGGCCCATTCAGACTTTGCTCCCAAGCCATAATCATGATCCCTTAGACTTCAGTGTTTTGTATTCTATATATGCCCCAATACTATTATTATTATTATATATGATATATGATATGATAGGATATGATACGGTAATGGTACTACTATCATAACAAATAGTATCCTCTAGCAATAAATATACCACTAATTAGCTATTATAAAAATGTAAAAGTTTGAAGCAAGAACAAAAATGTATATAAACACAATAACGTACAATATAATAATATGATGCAATGGTGGATC